TGTCAAAATAGGTTATGATACGCAGGTTGACTTGCGTCACGAAATGAAGATTCGTGTTCGGGTTAACCCATAGAAAAATTCGTGTCGCGTTCGTGTTGCAAAAAATGACCCGCAGAAAATTCGTGTCATGTGAAATCGAATTTGACCCTTTTTTAATTTTTTAAATTTTGACCTTTTTTTTTTTTAAATTTTGTTGGTCAATTATCATTTTGACCCATAATTTGCATGTCATTCGTGTTGTGTCGTGTCAATCTGCAAAAAATTCGTATTGTGTTTGTGCTGAAGATTCTGACACGAATAAAAGTTTGTGTCGTGTTTATATTGCATATATTCGTGTCATGTGGATCTATTTGACACCCCTTATAGGTCTCAAGCTACAAGACTTGAGATGACATTCAAGCTTTAGCCTCACCCATTATCCTTCTTAGTAAGGATTCAAGAACCTAAGATCAATCTTTAGCAATTACAAAGAACCAACCACATCATAATTCACTTTCTAATACAAACTACCAATTTTAACCAAGATCAAACTAAAACTAAAAGAAGATAAGGAGAGATAGCTCTTGAAAGTGTGCAAGCTTTACATGGACCCTATCACTTGAATCTACTCAAAAGAATGTGAACCTTGCTCTCTTGAATGGGATGAATGCAACAGTGTATATGTTTACAATTTTCAGCGAGTTAACCAAGATTACTTCAAACTAATGATTGAAATAGGTCTTGGTTAAGCAATGTTCCTCACACAATCACTCGAATATATTTTAAAGGATGATGGAGAACATGAATGAATATTTTCTTCACCAATTTCTTTCACACACAAATCAGTAACTCAATGTTAAATTTTTACTAAGTTTTTTATGGCTAAAACACAGGATTTCTTGCTCTCTTTTTCTTGGTCGGTGGTGATGAATTTTTCATATCAGAGAGAATGTATATCGTGGAGAGAGGTAATTGAATACTGCTAAAGTTATGTTAAGATAAATTTTTTTTTTTTTTTTTTTTTAAGGATACACCGAATGCATGCAACCTTTTATTCTTAGAGCCTGTTTGTGGTGGCGGACCCAGAAAATTATATAACGGGGAGCGAAAATTTATATTATTATTACTAAAAGGCAATGCCAATATTGGTTAGATGATCATGCTAAGAATACAAAATACCCGTTAAGAAGAACCTAATAAAATTACAAAAAAAATTGCCAATTTTTTGGTTGGAATGTCAATTTTTTGCTTCCAGTAACAGTGGTCCAATGCACCCTCTATTTTAATGAGGAACTAGCCTTAAGACCCTATATTTTGTTTGTAAGATCAATTTTTTATTGTTTACCTTCATGTCTTCTGGTGTTGTTGTAATTGTACTTTCTTTGATTTCTTCAGAATCTTATTTTCTCACTTAGCTGTTATTTAGCAGAAGAAGTAAATTAATTAATGTGTTATTTATTTTTAGCATTTGGTCCCAACTAATAATTGATAACTAATTAACTATTATTGACCTTTTTTCCTTGCCAACAAAGTCAAAACTTAAATACTCTTCTCCTGAGTTCTGATATGACAATCTGTACAAATTTTTAATGATTATAAAAAGAAAATTAGATAATCAATCAATATAAAATCAAATTCTAGACAAATTTCACAAGTAGAGTGAATGTGTTACTAACTGAACTCTTCTTTGTATAAAGTGGAAAAACTAGCTTTCCAAATTGGCTGGGGAGGGTAGTAGACCAAGAATAAAAGCTACTATATATGTTGGCAGATTGAATCTGGTAAATAATAGTTATCTCTAATTGGGTGCAATGAATGAGTAGAGCACTTTTCTTATGAATAGTATCACTTGTCTTTCACTTTTTAAAAGCACTTTCAAAATTTTATTTTTTCATACCATGTTGTATATAGAACATATTTTCATATTTAAGAGGGGGGCGGGGGCCCATCCTAGCCCCCCATGTAGGTCCACCACCCCTGCCTGTTTGGATCCTCTTATTCTTAAGCTAGAAACTACTTATAAGCTAAAGTTAAAAAAAAAAAAGCTTAAAAAAAGAAGATAAAAGCTGTTTGGAAATTAAATAAAAAACTTAGCTTAAAAATTACTTAAAAGCACATATTTCAAGAAAATTATCTCTCTCTCCATCTTTATTATTCTTCATTCTAAAAAAAGCACACAATTCAAGAAAAACAGATAAGAGCTTAAAAAATAGGAGCTTTTAGTTTTCAGTTTTTTTCTTCATTATAAAAAGAAGAGCTTTTCATTATAAGAGTTTTTCTCAAAACCTGTTTGACCTAACTTTTACTTATAAGTAGCTTCTAGCTTAAAAAAGAAAGGATCGAAACAGGCATACAGGTCTAATGAAAATGCCCACATTGAATAAAATGATTTAAAAAAGTTTTTGTTGTGAATTTACCATTACCCATCAATGAAAATACCAAATTAACCTTGCAATGATTTTTAAAATGATTAATCATATGCAGTTAGATTTGTATCATGTATGAAGTGCAAAGAACACAG